CTTGCAGAAATGTGTGGCCTGAGGAACTGACAATTCACCCAGCTCAGAACCACACAGGTGGCTGGCTTTAACCTGTGGTCTTCACGGTATTACTGTTGGTGGCCAGATCACATGTGCCGGTTGCGAGTGGTTTCACTTCTTGCTGGTTGCCTGATGTTCACTGGGTTCTGTCTCTGTGTCAGGAATTCCATGTCCCAGCTGAGACCGGGCCGAGGGAGTGGTGAGGGGAACCGGCGCAGTGTGTTCTACACCGGCAGCGATGACTGGGAGATGATTGACCCGCCAAGCAGAGAGCTGCAGGAACAGATGGCTATGCTGGAGTTCTCAAAGAAGCCTCACCCAGAGGCCCATAGGAGTGAGAGGCGTTTTAACTATGATATTGCATACAGTATGTGGGAGCAGTTTTTTCAAGGCAGATTTGTGGCCTAGGGGAGGCACGAGCGAATCCCAACTCGGTTCCATTGTACGTGCTTGGAATCCTTTTCTGTAGCTCAAAAAATGTAATATCTTTAGTCAAGGGAAGAGATGGAACTTGTACTGGCTTGCAGTAGGAGTGAAGTTATTTCCATAGTACTTATCTGATGGAGCCCATGTTTGCTCGAGATTGTTTTTGTTTCTGCTTTGTCTCGCAGTCCTGAAAGCTTTTCATTACTGTAGGCAGAAGTGACCAAAAGGAAAACGCCACCCCATCCGTAAACATCCCTGAAGTCGAGCTTGATTTCGTTTCCAAGTTCTTCGACTGCTGTAGTCAATGGCGACTGGAGAGTCCAATTTGTTTCTGAAGGAGAGTTTCGCTTTCTCTAGACTCCACGGGTTCCGTGTTCGCCTTCGACTTCGGCCGGACGAACGCACGGTCGAAGCGCCCCCTCCTGAAAGACGTGATGGGCGGCCCCAGCAAGAACAGCAGAAGCATTGAGACCTCTCCGGTGGAGTGGAACGGCAGCAAGTCCTCGGAGACGCAGCTCAGGCTGCAGGGCCAGCAGGAGGAGTTGGCCCGCCTGAGGGAGGAGCTCGCCAGCCAGAAGGTGGGACACGGCAGAGCTCTCCGGGTGGGAAGGTGGGACACGGCAGAGCTCTCCGGTCGGGAGGTGGGACACGGCAGAGCTCTCCGG